TGTAGAAATGATAATTCCTTTGGTAGACAGGATCAAAGCTTTAAGAAAGTATTAAAATAGGATTTGGGAAGCAGAGCATATTCCCCATAGAGTACTACAGTTTCATGAAAGGTCAAAATTCAGGGTGTCTTTACTCCACAATATTGCTTAAACATATTTTGTGTAACTAATATATCCAGGCAATATTACTTTCAGTAATTAAAAATACATATTTCTGGCTTCTTGGAAATCAGAACAGCAAACAATAGCAGGTGTTAAATTTAGGCTGTTTGTACTCCACACAGGATGAAGAAGATTGAAAAAAATTCATACCACTGCTCACGGGAGAAAAATGCTTAAGTGTGTCAGACATATTTCTTTTCCTAGAATCCTAGCTCTTTACTAAGTCCAAGCACACTGACAGATACAGACATTTACCATGATGAAGAGAACAGATTCCTTAGCTTTCTTTGCATTTTTGCTCTCCAGACTCTTATTCTAAGCTTTGAAAGAGGGAATATGTTCCTAGTCAAATTCACATCATTGAAAAATGCATGTTATCACATGGATAGCATTTTGTGAGATCACTTGTATAAAAAGACAAAGATTCTAGTTCTAGTTTCATTTTAAAAGCTTCTGAAAATGGAAAGTTAGAAAGATGGGAGAGCGTGTACTTGCACATGAAAAGAATAAAAGACTTCTTAATAATCCAGATGAAGGAGTAATGAGTATATTCAGTAGCTTTCAAAGACAGAATTCTGATGAGATTTAACTGGACAGCTAAAGGACATCTAATGAAATTAAAAGCTGAAAAATGCAAAGCAATGCAGATGGGATGGTAAAAACTCTAAGTTATTTTTCCTAAATTAAGCATATGAAAGCTTAATGTAGGAAACTTAAAAGCACTGCAACATCCTGGGAAGCTCATTCTATCTGCTGAATGAGCAGAAATCATAAAAAAAGACAAAACATTGAGAAACAAAATGCAACTTTCATTGTTTGACAAATATAAGTCCGAAAGTATTAAAATTCCATTGCAGAAATTAATACAGCAGCTTCATGTAGAGTCTTTAGCTATGTTATTTGTGAGATGATATCACAGGATTAGAAGAGGACCAAAAAATTCAGAGTGAAGGACTACAAACCAAGAACTCTGCAGTCAGGACTGACTAGTTCAGCTATAGATACCAGCATTATAGACCATCTAAGCTTATGCACAAGGAAAATAATGGTCAGTAATACTATTGTACTGACTTGTCAATTCTTTAACCTCTTCTAATATCATAAGAGTTTAATAATTTGAATAGACAGGAAGAAACAAACTCTGATCTTAACTCGGAGCAAGGAGTGGTAATGCTACCAGTTCAGATCATAAGCTGAAACGGGGTGTCTATAGCTAGTTGATATCCATCTATGAAAATCTGTTGAGATGTCAGCCAACAGGCCAATTGTTTATACACTGCAGTATGTTTTATGGACCAAGACATTTGGAGGTGAGCTGCTGTCCTCTATAAGATACAGAGCCTTTCAAAATCATATCTATAGCTGTTTTAAATTAGAATTATCTTTGATATTGTAGACAAAGCTGCACAGAGTAAGTTTGCAGGTAAAGTTCCAGGAAGTAAGGGTTGGACCTAACTGAATTGCTTAATAAAAAGCAATTCAGAAAGACATGAGATTATTTTACTTTATATGCTAGTGTCTCATGCTGAATGGATTTTGGCTTTGAATGTACCAAGTAATCAAGACTACTACTACCAGTAACAGCCTTAGCACTATTAAGAACAGCATAGCTTAAATAAAGTAAAGCAGACGCAGTTCTGGTCTGATAAGCACAAGAAAGGAAGATGTGCAACTAGACAGATGCTTACCACATGATAGTTTAGAGTCTGTGTACAACTGACAGTCCTAGCAGGGAGCTATGGCTCCTCCAGTAAGTCCCCATTTAGACAAACAGCTGTGCTAGGGTTCATTCCAATTCTAAAAACCCCAGACAACACACACTAATGATCAGGCTTTTTTATGGAATTAGATATCTTCCACAAAGATGCAAAAGAATATGCTCATGCATATGCGCTAGAACACATGAGCATATGCAGCACTGAAGTTATGCGCTGATACAGACACTCTAAGTCAAATTTGGAAACCGATTCCGTAAGAGTGCACTACATATAACAGCAAAAAAGCTGGTAAAAGTATGTATAGAAAAATACAAAAGGGCTTTCATATTCCATCACCTATTACGTATGTTAATACATAGATACATACAAGTACTGCTCAAAAAGTATAGTATGTTTGTAAATATTAAATGCTAAATTTTATATACTAAGTAATGATGTGGTTGTCTGTCCTTTCAGGAAATGAAGACAAATTCAGGGTGTAAGCGCAGTTGTTCTTCGATGCTGTACAAAGCTTTCCAAGAATACTGGCTTGTACATCTGCAGACTGCCACACTAGGATGCTGGGAAGTTTACTAGTGGATTTAAGGGCAGACTCTACACAACCCAGTTAAACCTAGAAAATGCATGTTAATTAGACTCACAAAATAATACTTTCACTGCCTTTCCTTCTTCTGTCAGCTAGAATAAAGTGACTTAGTTATTTCGGAGCCTTTTTGAGTCATATATGCTTTTTTCTAGCCATCTACTTCATATCCTAAAACACTTGGAGTTCTTCTGCTGGAAGAAGCATTCTGTGGCTTCACCCTGTCAGGCTCCAGTGACATGAAAAGCATTGCTCTATAAAAACATGCATTATTATTGTGAACGAAATTCTGGTTTGGCATGTATGCTGATCCTAGTAGCTTTTAACAGGAAAACCTCCAAAGAGAAGAGGATTGATATAACGAAAAATGAAGGTCAGAGAGTTTAAATACAACAGAATAGGAAAGAGACTTAAAATATGGCATTTATAAAAGAGATACTGTAGTTTAGCAGCATGAAGTATTTCTTATTGAATAATTCAAGAGAGTCTGGTTCAGAACCCTAACCTAAGTGCTAATTATCCACAGCAACATACTTACTTTCAACAAAAATATAAAGTAAGATCTAATTAATGACCATTTCCAGTGGCAAAAGATGAAGTTCTCTAATTTATCTCTGAAAAACGACACTAGAAGAGAAACAAAATGAAAGGGAGCTTTAAAAGAAAAAAGCATTTCAAAGGCCAGGTTCCTCTGGGCGTTTCAGTGCCTAGGGCATACTGCTCTGGTTAGCCCTTGGAACTCCTCATAGCAAGAGTGAGATGATTTTCTCTTTAGAAGAAACCTCTTCTATGCCAGTAAACATAGAATAAACGTTGTACATTTTCTAAACTGAGGTATGCATACATTTGGACTGAGAAAGCAGCACACCAGAACCCATATATTATTTTTTTAAATAAAAAAAGGACAAACTGAGCCTCCACATTCTTTGAACCTGAGTTGAGAAACTCCTCCAGCAGCTGACTACACAGTACTCCGCTATAACATGGTTTTTGCAGTTTAGTACATCACGTTATTTCACAACTGGAAAGTCAAGGGATAGAAGAGCTATTTATAGAACTTAGAAAATTTGATAACAGAGCAGAAGGTCACTAGATCATAGATAAACGGAGAAAGGTTTCTTAATGGGAGTTATAGCGTGCTCAGTAAAACTGCTTCTACTGTTATCAGCCATATTATCTGCAATACTCATTTGATTCAAATTACAAATCCAACAGTAATACAACAAATAAACCCTAGCTAATAAGCCATAAGATTTCAATTGAATGCTTCCATTAAACATACATATATATAATCTACCTTTAAATAAAATGGCACCTGACTCATGCATCTTATTGTTCTAAATATTGCAGTCATGCCAGCAGAGTATTTTTGTAACGCTAAAACTATTTTATTAACTTGTGTTCTGTGCTTGTTTTATGTGATTAGTAGTACTGATCAAGGATGCAGAAGGACAGATGTTTAATTGGCAGTAAGAACACAAGAGTGAATTCTCAGTTGTCAAGTTTCAGGCAGAAGTTCAAGAAAAATACATGCCCATAGCTAAAGCTGAGTCTCATTACTGAGTTTTAAATGCCTATTTAAGACCTCCTTGATTAGTGAAGTATTGAAGCTTATTTATTCTTGCCTCAGAACCTTAGTTTACTTCTGAATTAGGTACACAGGAATGCAAAGACAGATCTTTGTAAGAAGAAGGTAGTCTGTATTAAAAATCTGCAAGTCCTGAGGATTATTTACATTTGAGACAGAAAGTATTGTGTGTGGACTCAGCTGAAACTAAAGATGCAAGCTCCTCCCTGCAACATTTCTCAGCAGCAACACACCACCATAATCATGCCAAACTAGTCTGCTTGCAAGTTTGCTCTTCCTTTAAAGAGACATTCGCCTTATAATTTCCTGCAACCCATTAAACTTCTTAAAAATTTCATTTCAGGGACAGAACTATAGATATTACTGTAATCTTCTTCCTGTATTTGCTTCTTCACATTCATATTGACACAATCTTTCTACCTGCCTTAGCATCTGTTTAAGTATTTGCACATTTTGTCATACAGTATAATCAAAATAAAGCCTCTACATCCCTATTATTATCTATTTCTAGTATCTTCATTTCCAGTATTTGAGACACAAACCTGGTGAAACCAGAAGCTCTACAGTGTCAGTGAAATTCTGTGAATCCTTATTTAGAAAGCTACCAGTTCTTAAGAACATAATATTCCGCTGGTTATCTTTCTCTGCATAGAGCTCAGCAGTCTTGCATTCAGTCATCTTCACTTCTATGAAGTGGGGTTCCCTCTCAAAGGCAGCTGCTATGGCTGTATGCCCTTTTCACACTCACACAGTAACTATACAATATATAATGCAATGGGGCCACTGAGACACCATTTTCTCCTATCTGAAAAAAACTAACAAAAGTCTCTGAAAAAGTTTAAGAAGTTTTAGAACACAGTATTTATTTGGAAAGCAGTTGAAAACCAATTAATTTCTCATTAGTTCTTTCTTCTGCTGCTTATTGAAAGTTTTTTTCTTTTTAACTTACCAGGCATTATAATATTGGAAAAACCTAGTTTCCTTGTTATGGATACTCCATGGGTAAACATGGATGTATACTCTCTCCTAATTTGTTCTATGTCTCCATGAAGCAACTGAAGAGAAACTGCCAGACCTGAAAATGAAGAAAAAAACAAGGAAAAATAAGACATTCAAAAAGATTATGGTCATCAGTACTTCTTAAAAATACTTGCAAGTGTATATGCATTCCTGAGAACTCAGAAAATTCAGAGGAAGTTCAATAATACCAAGCCAATGCACCTCAAGTTTTTTTATGTATTTAGGAAGGATACCAACATCCAGAAATTAATAAAGGCTTGACAACTACCCATGAAAAAAGCATTAGCAAATTATTACTGATGTGTAACTGAACTACGATGACATGTTGGATCAAAATTATCTCAATAGGGATGGACTGGGGCCTTAACTGGAAAAAGAATTAGAAAAATGTCAATTTAGTGAAATGTCAATCAGTATTTGCTACCATTTCAATTTTTCACTTTCTTCAACACAATGCTGCCTTCATTGGTATGCAAGAAAAGGTGCAAACACAATGGTCCCTATCTAGGGGAGAAATGTGGAAGTCTCATTACAATGCATCGCTTAACCCAATAGAAAATTATACAACTTATTAATCAAAGATCTCAAACTCTAATAAACCAATATAGCATAATCAATGTTTTTTACTTAGGCACAGCAATTTCATAATGACTGACAACTTTTTTCCAATATTCATCAGATTTAATCAATCATGCTCTTTCCTATGTTTGCTAGAAGACATGAAAAATGCAAGGGTGGCCATATAATCATTTTCCAATATTTATTCCTCTAGAACCAAGGAAGAATAACTTCATCTACTATATGTGCAGTATACAAATAAATTGCAAACAGTATACTTCATTACAGCTGACATTAACAAAAACTACAGGCATGCCTTTTCATTATTTCAAATATAATCACCGAGGTAAGTGTCAGGATGATACAGCTTGTAAAGATTGATCTTCCCTGACCTTCAACATTAGTACAGCATATCACATGTCAACATACAGATCAAGGAGAAGATAAGAGCAAACTCTTCACATACACTGAACAACTGGAGATAAACAGACAACTCAGGAGAGTCATAATTAACTTTAGATTATACGTAAGTAAATAATACTTACACACAGACTGAACAACAAGGTCATCAGTCCTTTGGGCTTTGGAAGAAATTTCCCCTACAACCATGTTACTATTTAACTGAATAAATTTACTCGAAGTTTGATGGTTCTTAAATCAGAGCTTGAAAAATCTGTACTAAGTACTGCCAGTCCAGGCTACTGCACTAAAGAGATCAGAGGTCTAATTAGCATGACAACTTTTATCTTCTTCCTCTTACCTACGCTTACATTTTATTATCTTGGCAACTCCAGAAAACGTGATACTCTGACCAGACTTCCATTCTCTTACGAAAAAGAGCTCACCTACACATCTCCAACTGAGTACATAAACAAATCTTACAAGGAAAAACATTCAGTGAAGTCTATTCTATTTTAAGGACTGTATTCAATGCCATGGACATTAACTATTTTTGTAATGGGAATTTGTTCTGTGGTTATCCAGTTAACAACTTTTAGGAAGCAGTGACAATTATTATTGGTGTAGATGAGAAAACAAAAACCACATTGTGGTCAGCTGGTGGTACAGGAGGTTGGTAAGAAGTCACACAGGCAAAATTCAGACACTGTTAGAGCAGGTGAAAAGATTTTCATTGCTGGATGGAAAGTGCTAGGCTGGGTATAGCTCACTTACAAATATGGATATTTAGCCCACCTCCAATTTTTTTTTTGTATTTTAAGAAATTGTTATGCACACATATATATATTCATACCCTCATATGCCCCTACTGTACCGTTTCCTTGGAAACCTAAAAAACATTTGCCAGTGCATCAATTACAACAGCATTAATCAGATATTGTACACCGCCTGGTGTTGAGTAAAGTTGTTTTCTCTAAACAAAAAGTTGAAGACCTCAAATCCAATTAGTACTACAGTTTTCTTTGTGCACATATTTCAAAGATTTCCTTGACGAATTTTATTTAGCTCAAAAATGAGATAAATGTCAAAAAACCTTATCAATGGTAAAATAGTTTTAACTTGAGAAATAAGCTGCCTGTCAAGGATTTGAAGTACTTGCTCATGCAAGGCAAGAAAGGTATTAGAGCTCTGTACTTCACAGCATTCATTGTTAGAAAATGAAGAGTCATCTTGTAGAGAAATGCTAATGTAAAACAACAAGATGTCTCAAACAGCCTGGTGCTAAAACCACAATGCAGAGCGATGGTCGCTAGGCCCCAGGACCAGACAGTACGTACCCTGGAGTGAGGGTGAGGGAGGGAGTCCTGTGGAGACAGGGTGGCCTTGCCTCGGCCCCATTCCCCAGGGTCTGTGAAGCATCTTAATTCCCCCCGCCCCCCCCCACCTACTGCCTGGGGGACAGTCCTAGTATCACTCCTCTTGGTTTTGACTGGTCACTGATCTAATTTTCCAATTAGCAAAACTACTAACCACTTGTGCCTTGGGAAAGGAATTTGGGAGGGAGCTAAAAGATAACAAACTGTGGAAAACTAACAGCTCTAACGTTGAAGAAGAGCTAACAAGCTGACAAAAGTGAACATCTTGGCACCAAAGACTGGATGGTGGCCAGAGAAGATAAAACTGCAGAAAGTAGGTGAAAGGTAAATGTGGCGAGGGG